CCTTGGAGCGAAAATGGAACCCAACATCTTAGAGACCAGGGCTTGCGATTTGATTTGAGCCCAAAATCTTGAGGACCAGGGCTTGCGAGTTTACTTGGTTTGAATAGTTTAAATAGTTTGAATAAACTATTCAAACCCTCCCCCCCCCCCCCCCCCCCAGGCTGGCCTCGCAAGCATTGTCCCCCTTAAGTTTTTGGAAAACTGAGCTCCCAAAATGACAAATCGCAAGCAGTGTCCCCCTTAAGTTTTCGAAAAACTGAGCTCCCAAAATGACAAATCGCAAGCAGTGTCCCCCCTTAACTTTTTGGAAAACTGAGCCCCCAAAATGACAAATCGCAAGCAGTGTCCCCCGTAGGGTTTTGGAAAATTGCGCTCCCAAAATGACAAATCGCAAGCAGTGTCCCCCTTAAGCTTTTGGAAAACTGAGCTCCCAAAATGACAAATCGCAAGCAGTGTCCCCCTTAAGTTTTTTGAAAACTGAGCTCCCAAAATGACAAATCGCAAGCAGCGTCCCCCTCTAAGTTTTTGGAAAACCGAGCTCCCAAAATGACAAATCGCAAGCAGTGTCCCCCTTAAGTTTTTTGAAAACTGAGCTCCCAAAATGACAAATCGCAAGCAGTGTACCCCTTAAGTTTTTGGAAAACTGAGCTCCCAAAATGACAAATCGCAAGCAGTGTCCCCCTTAAGTTTTTTGAAAACTGAGCTCCCAAAATGACAAATCGCAAGCAGTGTCCTTGGAAAACCGAGCTCCCAAAATGACAAATCGCAAGCAGTGTCCCCCTTAAGTTTTTGGAAAACTGCGCACCCAAAATGACAAATCGCAAGCAGTGTCCCCCGTAGGGTTTTGGAAAACTGAGCTCCCCAAATGACAAATCGCAAGCAGTGTCCCCATTAAGTTTTTGGAAAACCGAGCTGCCAAAATGACAAATGGCAAGCAGTGTCCCCCTTAAGTTTTTGGAAAACTGAGCCCGAGCCCCCAAAATGACAAATCGCAAGCAGTGTCCCCCTTAAGTTTTTTGAAAACCGAGCTCCCAAAATGACAAATCGCAAGCAGTGTCCCCCTTAAGTTTTTGGAAACTGAGCTCCCAAAATGACAAATCGCAAGCAGTGTCCCCCTCTAAGTTTTTGGAAAACTGAGCTCCCAAAATGACAAATCGCAAGCAGTGTCCCCCTTAAGTTTTTGGAAAACTGCGCTCCCAAAATGGGGGAGGCCCGGGCTCGTAATTTAGTATTGGGAGGAGGCCCGGGCTCGTAATTTAGTATTGGGGGGAGGGCCGGGCTCGTAATTTAGTATTGAGGGGAGGCCCGGGCTCGCAATTTAGTATTGGGGGGAGGGCCGGGCTCGTAATTTAGTATTGGGGGAGGCCCGGGCTCGTAATTTAGTATTGGGGTGAGGCCCGGGCTCGTAATTTAGCCTCCCCCCCCCCCCCCCCCCCCCCCCAAACTATTCAAACTATTCAAACTATTCAAACTGTTCAAACTATTCAAACTATTCAAACTATTCAAACCCCCAGGTTTGAATAGTTTGAATAGTTTGCGGCCCCAGGCCGGACCCCTAAACTATTCAAACTATTCAAACCCCCCAGGTTTGAATAGTTTGAATAGTTTGAATAGTTTTGGGGGCCCCGGGCCGGACCCCCAAGCTATTCAAACTATTCAAACCCCCCAGGCCCGGGCTCGTAATTTAGTATTGGGGGGAGGCCCGGCTATTCAAACTATTCAAACAATTCAAACCCCCAGGTTTGAATAGTTTGAATAGTTTGCGGCCCCAGGCCGGACCCCTAAACTATTCAAACTATTCAAACCCCCCAGGTTTGAATAGTTTGAATAGTTTGAATAGTTTGAATAGTTTGAATAGTTTGAATAGTTTGGGGGCCCCGGGCCGGACCCCCAAGCTATTCAAACTATTCAAACCCCCCAGGCCCGGGCTCGTAATTTAGTATTGGGGGGAGGCCCGGGCTCGTAATTTAGTATTGGGGGGAGGCCCAGACTCGTAATTTAGTATTGAGGGGAGGCCCGGGCTCGTAATTTAGTATTGGGGGGAGGGCCGGGCTCGTAATTTAGTATTGGGGGAGGTCCGGGCTCGTAATTTAGTATTGGGGTGAGGCCCGGGCTCGTAATTTAGCCTCCCCCCCCCCCCCCCCCCCCCCCAAACTATTCAAACTATTCAAACTATTCAAAGTATTCAAACTATTCAAACCACCAGGTTTGAACAGTTTGAATAGTTTGCGGCCCCAGGCCGGACCCCTAAACTATTCAAACTATTCAAACCCCCCAGGTTTGAATAGTTTGAATAGTTTGAATAGTTTGAATAGTTTGAATAGTTTGAATAGTTTGAATAGTTTGGGGGCCCCGGGCCGGACCCCCAAGCTGTTCAAACTAATCAAACCCCCCAGGCCCGGGCTCGTAATTTAGTATTGGGGGGAGGCCCGGGCTCGTAATTTAGTATTGGGGGGAGGCCCGGGCTCGTAATTTAGTATTGAGGGGAGGCCCGGGCTCGTAATTTAGTATTGGGGGGAGGGCCGGGCTCGTCATTTAGTATTGGGGGAGGCCCGGGCTCGTAATTTAGTATTGGGGTGAGGCCCGGGCTCGTAATTTAGCCTCCCCCCCCCCAAACCAAACTATTCAAACTATTCAAACTATTCAAACTATTCAAACTATTCAAACTATTCAAACTATTCAAACCCCCAGGTTTGAATAGTTTGAATAGTTTGCGGCCCCAGGCCGGACCCCTAAACTATTCAAACTATTCAAACCCCCCAGGTTTGAATAGTTTGAATAGTTTGAATAGTTTGGGGGCCCCGGGCCGGGCCCCCAAGCTATTCAAACTATTCAAACCCCCCAGGCCCGGGCTCGTAATTTAGTATTGGGGGGAGGCCCGGGCTCGTAATTTAGTATTGGGGGGAGGCCCGGGCTCGTAATTTAGTATTGAGGGGAGGCCCGGGCTCGTAATTTAGTGTTGGGGGGAGGGCCGGGCTCGTAATTTAGTATTGGGGGAGGCCCGGGCTCGTAATTTAGTATTGGGGTGAGGCCCGGGCTCGTAATTTAGTATTGGGGTGAGGCCCGGGCTCGTAATTTAGAATTGGGGTGAGGCCCGGGCTTGTAATTTAGTATTGGGGTGAGGCCCGGGCTCGTAATTTGGCCTCCCCCCCCCCCCAAACTATTCAAACTATTCAAACCCCCAGGTTTGGGGGTTTGAATAGTTTGAATAGTTTGCGGCCCCAGGCCGGACCCCTAAACTATTCAAACTATTCAAACCTGGTTCAAACTATTCAAACCCCCCAGGTTTGAATAGTTTGAATAGTTTGAATAGTTTGGGGGCCGTGGGCCGGACCACCAAGCTATTCAAACTATTCAAACCCCCCAGGCCCGGGCTCGTAATTTAGTATTGGGGGGAGGCCCGGGCTCGTAATTTAGTATTGGGGGGAGCGGGCTCGTAATTTAGTATTGAGGGGGGGCCCGGGCTCGTAATTTAGTATTGGGGGGAGGGCCGGGCTCGTAATTTAGGCCCGGGCTCGTAATTTAGTATTGGGGTGAGGCCCGGGCTCGTAATTTAATATTGGGGTGAGGCCCGGGCGCGTAATTTAGCCTCCCGCCCCCCCCCCCTCCCCCCCAAACTATTCAAACTATTCAAACTATTCAAACTATTCAAACTATTCAAACTATTCAAACTATTCAAACTATTCAAACTATTCAAACCCCCAGGTTTGAATAGTTTGAATAGTTTGCGGCCCCAGGCCGGACCCCTAAACTATTCAAACTATTCAAACCCCCCAGGTTTGAATAGTTTGAATAGTTTGAATAGTTTGAATAGTTTGGGGGCCCCAGGCCGGGCGCCCAAACTATTCAAACCCCCAGGTTTGAATAGTTTGAATAGTTTGAATAGTTTGAATAGTTTGAATAGTTTGAATAGTTTGAATAGTTTGGGGGCCCCAGGCCGGACCCCCAAACTATTCAAACTATTCAAACCCCCCCAGGTTTGAATAGTTTGAATAGTTTGCTGGCCCCAGGCTGGAATCCCAAACTATTCAAACTATTCAAACCCCCTCCTTAGTCTAGCAGAAACAGAATCATCAAATAGTACATAGAGGTTCCTCGTACATATATATCTACATGACCATTCTGACTTCGGGCTCAGTGCAGTCGATGATGATGATATGTGTAGATATATACCTTATATACATATATACTATTATACTATATATGTATGTATATTAGATGGATACATATATATATATATATATACATAAGGAATACTACTATTTGCTAAGGAACCTCCCAAAAACGTAAAACACAATGACCTCCATTTTTCACCTCGGGAGGTTCTTAAGAGAACAGTAGAACATCGCGTGCATCGCTTAAGTGTTCTTGAGGTATGGGGCAGGGGAGCTTGTGCACCCTAAACCCTAAACCCTAAACCCTAAACCCTAAACCCTAAACCCTAAACCCTAAACCCTAAACCCTAAACCCTAAACCCTGAACCCTAAACCCTAAACCCTAAACCCATCCAGGGACCTGATTGTTCTCCCAAAGGGCTCTAGAAAACCTTGCCAATAGGTCGCTTGAAGTGTAGGGTAAGGGATCATACTTATGACCAATGGGTTTAAGGTTTAGGGTTTAGGGTTTTGTAGGGCCGGATGACTCCACTTACAACTAGTGGCTGCGGGCTTCGACCCTGGAAAAGTGGATGGGGATTTGAGTGGTTTAGGGTTAGAGGGTTTATAGGGTTTAGGGATTCGTGGAAGCCGAAAGCGTTAGGCCCTTGGAGCACTGCTGTGGGTTTGGGGGCTTCGACGCTCGTAGTCGCGAGGTTTCGGGGCTTCGAGGCTTAAAGAGCACAAGTAGGAAGAGTCTCCCAACAGGCATGAGCCTTGGGCACAATGTCTAGGATGGCCCTTGAAACCCTCTGAAAAATATTCCTGAATAGAGCCCTCTTAAACCAAGGGAAAAGATGAAAATATCCCCAGGGCCTACCTGGGTGTGAGTTCTTGGGGTCTGGCTTGGCTGCGTCTTTCTTGTCCTTGGCCTCGTCTTTGCCTGGTGGGCATACACCCCCCCACAAAAAAAAAACAATGGCACGTGAGCATGCTCCCCAATTAGGGTTTAGGGTTTTTGGTTTAGGGCTGTCCACTATAAATGAGTGCATGCCAAGCAAAAATTAACAAAGTGCCACAGCAGGGGCGCGCGCCTGCCACGTCATCATCCACCTCAAAGGCGCTGGACCTGATTGCTGCTTCTCAGCTGTCCATCAGGCTTCCATGAAGGCTTGGTAGCCCAGCAACCATATTGCAATAAGGGCACCCTTCTTTTCGGTTGGTTACTTTATAAGGGAACCCAGAGCAAAAAAAAGGCAAAGGGTGCCACTGGGCTTCATGAAGGTCAACTCTTGTAAGCAACGTGTCACTGCGTGCCTGCGCATGACAGCAGCCCTGGTGGCAAGTGACTCTTCGGCTGAGCCCACCAACAGTGGAGGGCTATCATCTACCAAACATAAGGCCCCGACACGGCTTGCCTGAGGGTGTTCACCTGAGCTTGCCTATACTCCCCTTAGAACCTGAATTAATAGAAGAAGTATGTCTTAAATATCCTCTTGGGTTTAATATAAACAAAAATTTAAAATAACTCCCCAGGGGGGATATAGTTGCAGACTGCTTCGCCTGAAATCCATGGATGTGCTGGCCGCTCTGCTCACTGCCGAAGCGACGGATGTGACCAGCTTTAGTTGGGTACCCCCAACCCCCAACCCCCCAAACCCCCCCCAAACCCCCCCCAAACCCCCCCCAAACCCCCCCCAACGCCCCCAAAACCCCCCAAAACCCCCAAAACCCCCCCCCCAAACCACCCCCCAACCACCCCCCCCCCCAAACCCACAAACCCAACCCCCAAAACCCCCCAAACCCCCCCCCCCCCAACACAAAACCCAAAACCCCTAAAAAAACCCCCCAAACCCCCCCAAACCCCAAACCCCAAACCCTAAACTCTAACCCCCCAAACCCCAAAGCCCGAGCTTGAGTTGGTTCAAAGTTCCTTGGCCGCCAGCGTGCTGCAGGTCATCGAGAGTCAGCTTCTGCCTTCCCGTGATGGGAAGAACCCACCTCGACTCCTGCACTTTAGGGTTTTGCTTTTTAGGGGTTTAAGGTGAAGGGTTGAGGCACTTCTTTGACGGAATCCTCCTCTTTTTTGTTGCATCCAAGTGGTTTTGGGGTGTAGGTTTCGGGTTTCTTGACGGAAACCCCCTTCAACCCCTCAACCCTGAATGCATGGCAGCCCTAAACTAATGCTAGCACTCCCAAAGGCAAGGGAAGCTAACTTCATGATTTACAGCGAATGGCCCTTAGTTCTTAGTTCAAGCACCATGGCATGAAATGGTAGCTTCGGTTCAACAAGCCCCATAGAGTTGTAGTTGCAGTTGGCACAGTAAGGATGCCAACCCCCCCCCCCCCCCACCCCACCCTGCAAGCCCTGAACCCATGTCCTGAGAGCGTCCGAAAAGCGAAACGGCCCGGACCTGCCCACTCGACTGGGTTCAGGGTGTTTACTTGGAGGGTTCATGGTACTTAGTAACCAATTATAACTGCACTTAGAACCCAAATCAGAAAACTATATTAGGGCACTTAAGGGGCTTATAAGTACTTTTATAAGTACAGTTATAATTGGCTACTAAGTACCACGAACCTTCAAGTAGGGGCTGGGGTTGTTTTACGTGTGAGTCACCAAGAAGGGAAGGGACGCAGGAAAGTTCCTAAAGGCAAGGATGGGCGCATCTTGCAATTCTGCCTGAAAGAGTACGTGGCTATATTGAAGATTTACAGACTTTTTGTACTACATTTTCTCATATCATATTACAATCTGTATATATCTATATATATATATATACATTTCAATGGTTACATCTCTCTCTATATATATACACATGCATACATATACATATATATGCACATTTACAGGGAGAGAGAGCGCGGCACATACGTTTTCGAACATAAGCCCTGCGACTGTGGAAGTCAACATTAGAACTGATAACTGCACTTCTAACCATACCAGGGTAAGATCTTTTAACTGCACTTCTAACCAGATCAGGGCACTCAAGGGGCTTAGAGGTACAGCTAGAAAAAATGATAAGTACCATGAACCTCCTACTGTGGTAGGCCTGCCTTGAGCGAGTCGAGGTCGCAGAGCGCCGAGCAGCCACCAGTCAAGACGCCCCCACCTGGTAGTCACCATCAAGGATTTAGGATTTAGGGTTTAGGGTTTAGGGTTTAGGTGGGTGCGTGGTGGTGGTAGGGTTGAGGTCTTAGGTACTGGATAAGGTTTGAGGTTTAGGGGTATAGTGTTTTATTAATAGTCATAGCGTTTATAGGGTTCAAGGTTCATCATGATTTCAATTTTGGCAAGCAAGGGCCTCGTCTATTAGGCATACCGAGAGCAACAGATGCCTCTTAGCTGAACCCTCTGGCCCCAAAGCCCTAAACCCTAAACCCACAAAAACCCTAAACCCTGAACCCTAAACCCTGCACACCTATCCTGGGCTCACATGGGGGTGTCCGAAAATAGGGGGACCCCCAAATAGAAGGACCCCCAAGAAGGTACCTAGGATCCAAGAAGGTACCCCCTATTTTAGGAAACCCCCAAATGCTTCGGTCCCGGGCAGGTGCGGGGCCGGAAGAAGGCCAGAAGCAACAAGACCTCGCATTCGGTCTGTAGGGTTTAGGGTTTAGGGTTTGGGGTTTAGGGTTTAGGTTTTTTTTTTTTTGGGGTTTGGGGTTTGGGGTCTGGGGTTTGGGGTTTAGGGCTTGGGGTTTAAGGCCCCAAAACATCGTAGAATGGCCCAAAATTGTCGGGAAAAATCCAATCGTATGTCGTGAATCATGGCGTCAAGGCAGCTTGTGGGGGGGGCGGCGGCGGCCTCTGGAGGGTTTAGGGTTTAGGGCTTGGCATTGTCGAGCCTTGCAAAAGGAGATTCAATCAACTGCCGCGCTTTGCGGATGCTTCTCTTGAAAGAAAAGAGATACAGTACCCATCTTCCCTTCCCCTGTAAGGGTCCATGTACCTGCATAGTATGAACCTGGGCGTTAGCGCGTTTCGAACTAGACAGTAGCTATAGGGATCAAGTATATATTAAAGAGGTACATGGACCCTTACAGGGTTTAGGGTTTAGGGTTTAGGGTACAGGGTACAGTTTTATAGGGGGTTATAGTATCCCAAAAAGTGTAAGTGTACCCACCCAGATACTAAGCCCCCTGTTTTCGGAGCACTTCGCCACAAGATGCGTGGCAAATGTCGCTCTTCACACCCTGCTGATTCTCAGCATCAGGGTGTAAGATTGGGGTGTTCCCCCTTAGACTAGCAGTCCTCACTAGGGATTCTAGTACCCCCTACCATAATCCCTAAAAAAGGAGCTGCTAGTAGAGGGGGGAACATCCCAAGTGCAAGAGCTGCCCCAAAGTTTTTAAGGCAGCCTTCGGAGTCATCCGTCAGCTGCGCGCTGTTTGCTCCCTAACTACTATTTGCTTCAGAACCCCAAACGGATAAACAACTAATCATCCCTATACTGCCCTTAAGAAAGGAAGAATATTTCAATATTATCATCCCCATATTACCCTTAATAAGGAAGAATTGTTCTATATTTTCCAGGGTTCTTAAGCAACTAATAGAATAACAAGGCATCCGAGGTCTCTCTGAGCCGGCGCCCTGGGACGGCATATGGCTGGACCCGTCAAGGGTTTAGGGTTTAGGGCTTAGGGTTTAGGGTTTAGGGTCACCCGGTGGCCGCGGTGCCTAGACATCTTTGAGCACGCCTTAGCACGCAAATCAGGTGAAGGGAAAAGAGGACGGCGGAGGCCCCTTCAGGAATCGAGGATTTCGAGCTCTCTAGTCCATGAGAACAGTAGTGATTCTGGAAGTACCACACATATACATATACACATACATGGACACACACATTATATACATATATATATATATGTATATATATGTATATATGTATATATATATATATGTATATATATATATGTATATATAGATATAAATACATTCGTACCTTTTGCCCCACTTTGGGCAAAGGGGCCCCCTTCTTCCCCAGTAGTGAAGGCCCGGCCCTTGCACAGGCAAGAACAACGTGGCGGGGCCGGAGATTGGAGGGAGCGCGCTCTGAATGCAACACTTCTCCGGCAAGCAGGGTGTAGGGTTTAGGGTTTAGGGTTTAGGGTTAGGGTTTAGGGTTTAGGGTTTAGGGTTATTTAGGGTGAGAAACTTAAACCCTTGCTTCTCGCTCGACAGAAGTTACAGTCTAGTCATGGGCAAGGAAGGAAACTCGCACAGTTTGAAGTCCAAGGGCATACTACGGGCATACTATAAGAACTTTCAGGGCTCGTGTGAGCTTCGGGGCCGATTATTGCACGGTTTCACTAAGGCCAAGGGGGTTTTCATATATGATGGCTTGCATTTTGCGGTCGGTCTTGGGAGTTTCTTTGTTTGGTTTAGGGGTCAAAAGTGTAAAGTGTACTCATTCAGCTACTAAGTAGATATGTATGTCACACCATTGACTGCGTGGTGCTGCATGCTGCAAGAAAGGAACTTTGGGACAAGGAAACGCTGGCTGCCTGAAACCCGAACCCCTCAGAGTTTCGGGGTTTAGGGTAGGATGGTCGCTCTGAACAAGTTGGCACGTAGGGTCTATAGGGTTTAGGGCGCTAGGCTTTCGTCTTCGAACGTTGTCGCGCCTTCCTCGGAAAATGGCCCGCCACTGTTACGAAAATGGGTTCCGAAGCACCTTGCCTGACACCTGACTGGCCAAAATGCACCGTGCTGCAGGATTTGCGGGTTATTTAGGTCTTTGCTGACCTTAGTGGCCAGGGAATGCCCAGGGCTTCGGACCCCATGCGGCAGCCCCCCAGCTTGTTACAAGGGGGATGACTGCACGCAATACACAGATCACTCATGGGAATCCTGAAGTCTTTGGCCCGTCTGTGGATTTAAGTGGGTTTCGGGTTTCGGGTTTAGGGTTTAGGGCTTAGGGGTTAGGATGCCCCAGATGCGAACGGTGTAGGTTTTGGGGCTTAGGGGATCTCATGTTTGCGGTGGGACGATTGGAGAAACACACGCTCTCATCCGCGAGACGTTGAGGACTGCGTAACCTTTCGCCGTGATCCGTGCTTTATCTTACTCTTGTCTGCACTTGTGGTCCATATACTAAGTTTCTCTTTTCAGAATTTCTGTGTAAGTAGGGCATGCTACTGCATCATTTCCAACTTCAGGGTTCAGGCCAGCTGGATCGCAGAAAGTGGCGATCCAGCTAGTCTTCTCTGGCAACTGTACAAGAGAAGCGGGGACAGGTCTTCAGCATAGGGTTCGGATTTTGCGGGCATCCCCCCTCGTCCCCAAACCACACCACGACTTTGAACATCTATGACATCTGTCCCCCACAGATAGCAGGAGCAAAAAAACTTACTAGCAGCATCCCTTTCAACTATGCGACCCCTTTATTAATCGCATGTCCCCTAGAAGCCCTCTGAAAATACTCCTGAAAGTACCTCCTATTATCATCCCTGTTAAGGACTGTTAGCAGATCCCAGACTACCAGTGCAATTCACACCAGTCGGAATGAGACATGGGGACAAACCCTCAACCCTAAATACCTAATATATATGTATAGACATATATATATATATGGGTCACCGCCTATAGCGGTTCCCCTGTGTTTTTGCACATTCCCTTAAACCATCTAACCAAAAATCCCTCAAACCATTAAACCATTAAACCATTAAACCAATGGTTTCCCCCATATGAGAATCCCCTTAACCATTAATTAAACCATTAAACCATGAAACCAATGGTCTCCCCCCAAACCATTAAACCATTAAACCATTAAACCATACCATTAAACCATTAAACCAATGGTTTCCCGCTTCTGAAAATCCCCTAAACCATTAAACTATTCAACCATTAAACCATTAAACCAATGGTTTCCCCCTTATGAAATCCCCTAAACCATTAAACCATTAAACCATTAAACCAATGGTTTCCCCCATATGAGAATCCCCTAAACCATTAAACCATTTTCATGGCGGGCAACCAGTGGTTTAATGGTTTGATGGTTTAATGGTTTAATGGTTTAATGCTTTAATGGTTTAATGGTTTAATGGTTTAAGGGATTTTCATAAGGGGGAAACCATTGGTTTAATGGTTTAATGGTTTAATCGTTTAGGGGATTCTCATAAGGGGGAAACCATTGGTTTAATGGTTTAATGGTTTATTGGTTAAATGGTTTAATGGTTTAATGGTTCTCCTGCCGAGGTACCTCTACCGCATCTTTTCTGCTCCTAAAGTTCTGATTCGCAAGCAGTGTCACCTGTATCCTTTCTGCTCCGAATATTCTGAATCGCAAGCAGTGTCTCCCGTATCTTTTCTGCTCATAAGTATACGTATACTATATGGGATTGCGCCTTAAACCCTAACTCTTAAACCCTGACTCTATAGGGTTTTAAGGTTAGGGTTTAGGTTGAATTGCCGGCTTAGGTTTCAATGCTTCAATCTTTAACCCTAAACCTGTCAACCTTAACCCTCTAGGGTTGGGGTGCCTGCATCATCATCGGATTTGACAAGCTCTGCGGAAATTTCTATATGACAAGGTTATAACTTATTGCTGTGGTTATAACTATGGGTTAGGGTTTGATTTTCATACACTTATGTAAACCCATTAGAATAATAAGGGGAACCCCATCACGCCCCAACAAGCGAAATATCCCAAATACTTTACCTTAGCTAAAATATCTCAAGCAACCATTCCCCGATACGCAACACCTGAATTCCATCATTTAACGATATAGTTTGTGTATATGTTGAATCCCAGCAAGTAGTGAAAGTGACGAGCTCTGCGGATATATGTACATGACAAGGTTATAACTTTTTGCTGCGGTTATAACTATGGTTCAGGGTTTGATTGATATACATGTAAATTCACCTATAGGAAAATGTGGGCAACCCCATCACGCCCCAATAAGCAAAACAAAACCTCTATCCCAAAAGCTTTACCTTACCTAAGATCGCTCAAGCAACCATCCCCCGATAAGCAAAACTTGAATTATCCTCTTTGTTTATATTTTGAATCCCATGAAGTAGTTTTCAGGACATTCTCTCACAGTATTCTCGCGTCACCGGGGCGAAAGAGCCCTACAAACGTAGGCATAGCCCTGTGGGGTTTAAGGTTTGGGGATTTAAGCTCTAAGTGCTCTGGGGTTTTATGGTTCTATTGTATAGGTAATTAATGCCCAAACCTTAAACCTAATCCTTTAAACCCTATAGGGTTCAATGGTTCGACAACCTAAGGTCTGGGCATGTATACCTTCAGCACCCTTTAGGGTTAAAACCTTTGAACCTTTGGGAGCCCTGTAGGGTTTTACGGTTCTGACCCTAAACGAATCAGGGTTAATGTCTGAATGCCCGAACTTTAAACCCTTAAGATTAAAACTCTTTGAGTTTTCGTTTTAAATGCCTAAGTCCTAAACCCCAACCCCTTACACCTTAACTCTATAGGGTTTAAAGGTTCGGGTTTAGGTTGAATTGCCGGCTTAGGTTTAAATGCCTCAATCTTAAACCCTAAACCTGTCAACCTTAACCCTCTAGGGTTGGGGCGCCTACATCATGATCGGATTTGACAAGCTCTGCGGAAATTTCTATATGACAAG